TCCAGAGGGAGGAAAGACTGAGCTTCATGCATTCGTGTGTTCACGCAGGGACTGCTTCATCTTATTTCAAATTATTGCACAACAGGTGAAACCCAATACTCCTGTGCTGATGTGTTCAGTGCCTGGTTATGATGCCAGTGGTCACGTTGAAGACCTTGCAGCTGAGCAGAATACACAGATTACTTCCATTGCTATTGGTAAGAACTGAATATTTTTCATTATCTAAGCATAAATAAAATTGTTAGCAGTAAGAGCTTTAGCAACTTTCTGTCTTCCAGGTTCTGCTGAAGGATTTAACCAAGCAGATAAAGCAATAAACACAGCAGTGAAATCTGGGAGGTACGTTCTATCTATTTTTCAGCTAGAATGCCACCTGAAATTTATAATAATTTATGCACAGCTGTTCAACTGAAGTACTTTCAGGAGAGGTGGGTTGTAGCTGCAGAACTGGATAGGTAGCATGTTTACAGTAATATCTGATTCTATATAATAGAAGGGTTTAAAAAATGGAAGAAAGCCTGTAGCATTAATATCAGATTCTGTTGCTCTTGTGATAGTAACCAGGATCCTTGAGCAGTGTGCTATTAATAAACACTCCTTCTGTTTCAAAACTTCATAGGTGGGTAATGCTGAAGAACGTTCACCTGGCTCCTGGCTGGCTCATGCAGCTGGAAAAGAAGTTGCACTCCCTGCAACCCCATGCTTGCTTCAGACTCTTCCTTACCATGGAGATCAATCCAAAGGTAATGCTGATCTGAACGTTGATGCTTTGATAGAGTAACTGGCTTGAAGAACCAAGAATGCTGCCCAGGGAAGGATTTCTTATGACTGCCTCTCTCCCTTAGCAAAAGGAGAACACATGCTGGCAGGATTTAGTTTTAGTAATTTAATTCTACCTGAAAACTTCATATAATTCCTTCCACTGATGACCCCGCCTTCCCAAAGAAAGGCAGGACTCACTGTGTGTGCTCAGAACGAGGTTTTGAATCTAACACTAATGCTATTGGAGGGATGTAATGTAATGAAGGCTGAAGGAGTTGGATTTGAGCTTGTTGGTCTTTTCTCTTCTAGGTGCCAGTGAATTTGTTACGTGCTGGCCGAATCTTTGTGTTTGAACCTCCTCCTGGCGTGAAGGCAAACATGCTGAGGACTTTCAGTAGCATTCCAGTATCTAGAATGTGCAAGGTAAGGCTGTGCCTTCTGTGGATGAAAGGGAAATGTCAGAATGCATTTGTTAGAATTGTACTTTAGAAATCTGACAAAACCTCAGCTTATAAAATATATGTAGAATATCTTGTTCATTCAGAAGTAAAGTAGTTGCTCCATCTGTTGATAGAACATACTCAGTTTTGGTAGCAATCTAGTACTAAATGTGCTATTTTCTAGCCTTTTAGCAAGCTTTTTCTTTATCAGTTCACTTGGGTAATAAAGCTTTTTTTCCCTCCTCCCCTACTTCCTAGTCTCCAAATGAACGTGCTCGTTTATATTTCCTGCTTGCCTGGTTCCATGCCATTATCCAAGAGCGTTTGCGCTATGCTCCACTGGGTTGGTCCAAGAAGTATGAATTTGGAGAATCTGATCTGAGATCTGCCTGTGACACAGTAGATACGTGGCTGGATGACACAGCAAAGGCAAGTAGTCTTATACCCTAGGCATAGGTATTATTTAGATTACTTAACTTCTTCAGTCTTATAGTCTCTTCTGGAAACCTTCAGCTACTTAGACGAGTAAGGCTTAAATAATCTGCTGGCAATTCAACTTAGCTTCTGAGTATGATTCCTCTAGCAGAGGAGAGGTGAGGAGGATGGTTTCCTGCTGATTGCAGTGTGTTTTTCTTACAGGGCCGCCAGAACATTTCACCTGATAAAATCCCCTGGTCTGCCTTAAAGACCCTGATGGCACAGTCTATCTACGGAGGCCGCATCGATAATGAATTTGATCAGCGTTTGTTAAACACTTTCTTGGAACGTCTGTTTACTACTCTGAGTTTTGACAGTGAATTCAAACTGGCCTGCAAAGTTGATGGACACAAAGATATTCAGATGCCAGATGGGATCAGGTATCATTTTTCCTATGCAGATTTCTGCATGCATTTCTTAAACTAAAACTTAACCCTCATCTGTATTTCTGTGCTGGTGTTCAGCACAGTAATTATTTGTCTTGGACAAATAATTATAACAAATAATAATAACCTTGCCATTCTAATAAAGGAAGGCCTTCTAACCAAAATTCTTACTTGCAGACGTGAAGAATTTGTGCAGTGGGTTGAGATGCTGCCAGATACTCAAACACCATCGTGGCTAGGCCTGCCAAATAATGCAGAAAAAGTTCTTCTCACCACACAAGGTAAAAACAGAACTTTAGCAATTACTTACGAAGATTAGAAGACCAACAGTTTAACTGAAAAGAGATGAGACACTGAAGTCCTGATGAAGAACAAAACATTAGCTTTCCCTCCTCTCTCAACAGTTGATTTAAATTCTGCAGGGTAAGGGCTTCAGCATTCCAGAAACTACCAAGAGGCTTCTGTAAATTCAAAAGCTGACTACACGTAGCCTTCCAGATGTCAAATTCCCATAGTTCTAGAAAACTTTATACTCAGCCCAAGAACCCCATGCAGCTAGAGAGTTCTGAATCTTAGTTCTAGAGCTGGGGGAGAGATAAGCCCTGATTCTTGCATGTAGTAGGATGTTTTCCTCTCAATGCCAATTCTTTTCTGACTAACAGTGTATCTTTTCTGTGTTTTAGGCATAGATATGATCAGTAAAATGCTGAAAATGCAGATGCTGGAAGATGAAGATGATCTGGCTTATGCAGAAACTGAGAAGAAGACAAGAACTGATTCTACATCAGATGGTCGCCCAGCCTGGATGAGAACACTGCATACCACAGCTTCTAACTGGCTTCACCTTATCCCACAAACTCTAAATCATCTGAAGCGAACCGTGGAAAACATTAAGGTAAGAATAAAGTTTTGTCTGATGTGAACATAGGAGCTGCACAAGTTCTGATGTATTGGAGAAAGTGTGTTGTCATTTTGAGCACCACCAATTAAGCTGTTCTGTGGGACAGCAGAAGTTGTGTTGGTGCTGATTCCAACTGCCTCAGCTATATCACGACCCATTGAGTTTCTTGAAATGCTCTTAGAAGTTGGCTCCGTGCTTTTAGGGAATTCTTTAAATCACAGGAACTGCTTCTGAAGCTTCTTTGTGATTAAGTAGCACACTGGCTGCTACTTATCATACTGCCTTTCCAGCTAGTGCACGCAGATTAACATTGAAGTTCAGTGATAGTAAAGGAATATAAGGCAGCAGCTTCTGCTGAGCGATAGCACACATTTCAGAGGGAAACTCTTGGGGTCTGGACAGTAGTTAACCTAAGCTTTAACTCCGGAGTAAGCTCCTCAGTTTAAGATGTCCATGACTGCCTAATTGCTTCAGAAAGCTTAACTGTGGGACAGCAGGTGAGAACCTTTTGTTGCTAATCAAAAGCAATCCGGAAATGATTTGAAGGAGCTGCAGCACACAGTCTGCATTTGTTGCTCAACAAGAAGTCTTCTGCTAGTTTTCCAGCAAGAACATTAAATGTTGATCTGCAACTTACTTCAAATGTTCTGATGATCAGGATCCTTTGTTCCGGTTCTTTGAGAGAGAGGTGAAAATGGGAGCTAAGCTGCTTCAGGATGTGCGTCAGGACCTTGCAGATGTGGTTCAAGTGTGTGAAGGGAAAAAGAAACAAACCAACTACCTACGTACACTCATAAATGAACTGGTGAAAGGTATGGGAATTAAAACTGGTATCTCTCTGTGCTCTGTTTGCCTCTTGTACTCTGTAAGTTAGAGGCTGTTAAGCTCAGCAGCTTAAAAAAGAAACTGCAGGGAAATCAGGATTGGCTTTACCCTTTGGGACAGGCAATCCCTTTTGAGTCGAGCATAGAAATGCAATTAGTTTAATAAGAGATTTCAAGTTGGGGTCAGTAACTTTAGGCTTTTTCAGATAGTTTACATTAGCAGCTTAATTTCTAGTGCTACTAGATTGTTTCAGTCTCTAAATGGCAATGGAACAAAGTTTTATAGCACAAAGTAACATCACTGTTCATCACATCTAGAATTTCTTCATTTTTCTAAGCTTCTCTTTCAAGCTTGTAGGTAAACTTGTATTTCTGATAATAACTGAACATCTGTTATTGAAGTAGCACTCTGACACCTGTTTTGAACAAAAACAGTGGGTAAAGCACAGTAAATCGACCAATTCTTTTTATGGAATTCAAATCTTCAAGAAAACATAAAGATCAGTTATTAGAGTATGTAGATGCTTGTAACTGAAGTTCCTTTTGAATGATTTCTGTAATTGGATGGCATTTTGAGTACTAGACCTAGAGGCTCTCTTAAATAAGTGCTTTTACTTACTAAGAAGCATTGTAATAGACATTTGTGTCCTGATCCAAGCCCTGAATGGTTATTGGAAGAGGAAGAAAAATTGATAGTGGAAAAATAGTGCACAAATCTTAGTTTTAATCACATTTTCCATAGGTATCTTGCCTCGCAGCTGGTCTCATTACACAGTGCCAGCTGGAATGACTGTGATTCAGTGGGTGTCTGACTTCAGTGAACGCATCAAACAGCTGCAGAATATTTCCCAGGCAGCTGCCTCTGGCGGAGCAAAGGAACTAAAGGTACTTTATGCTTGTATCAGCTAGAGATTGCGTCTGGATTTAGGTACATAACTGCTTTATGGAGTCTTCATATCAAGACTCCTTAGAGGTTCCTCAGGAAAAATAGCTTCAATCAGTTTTTCCTAATTGTGCTTGTAAATGCTGTTAACTATCTGCTGATAGCAAAATAATGAGGGCAGCAGGCTAACATGTAGACCAGAGGGGAAAATAGAATTCTTACAGTGACAGATAACGTAGACTTAAAGGAAAAAAACACAGTTACACAGTGTTACAGCAGCAGGAAGATCTTAACATACATTTAGATTGATGAAGTAATAGCTACAACAATTGCTATTCTTTTTCCTCTTCCCTCCTCCATTAGAACATCCACGTGTGCCTCGGTGGCCTGTTTGTACCCGAGGCATACATTACTGCTACACGGCAGTATGTTGCACAGGCAAACAGCTGGTCCCTGGAGGAGCTCTGCCTTGAGGTCAATGTTACAACCACACAGAATGCTGTGCTGGATGCGTGCAGTTTTGGAGTCACAGGTAAAACTCACTCTGGAAAGAGGGGTCTCTGTTCTACAATACTTCCACAAAGTGCTAGTTTTGAATGGGCGTCCTATGAGAAAGTCGTATCACTACAGGAATTACTGGACACTTTCTGAAGTTGTTGAATACTTTCCTATTTATAATATCTTTTATCATGGTAATAAACATCAAAACGCAGATCAGTATATATTTAAGCAGTATTCCATAGAGTATCTGCTGTGACTCCTCTGTTTGGGGCATGAAATACTTACTGCTCTCTTAATGGACAAAGCAGAGAAACTAGTTTAAAATATATTTTTGCAGACCTTGATGGAGTAACATCACAGCCCTTAAATAGTGCAGAGGGAGACTTACTTTCCTTAGACGTAAGAAAGTTCTTAGAACTCTAAAGTGCAATTCAATTTACAGGCCTGAAGCTTCAAGGAGCTACATGCAGCAACAACAAGCTGTCACTTTCAAATGCAATTTCAACTGTATTACCTATTACACAGCTTCGTTGGATCAAGCAGACAAACGCTGATAAAAAAGCAAATGTTGTAAGTATTGACTGAATTCACATCGTATAAATACCACTAAGCAGCACAGGAACTTCTTCCCGTCTCCAGCTACCTTGCATAACTCTTCTGTGTTCACATTTCTCCCAGGTGACGTTACCCGTTTACCTGAACTTCACTCGTGCTGATCTGATTTTCACGGTCGATTTTGAAATTGCTACCAAGGAAGATCCACGTAGTTTCTACGAGCGCGGTGTTGCTGTTCTCTGCACTGAGTGAAAAGCTTACAGATTGGCAATACTGTAATAAGTGTCACTGTTTTGTGTATTCCTCCTCTAGATGTAGTTGATGTGGATAGGTTGTCAGGTGGTTTTGTGTGAAGTTGAATCGGAAGAAGAGGGGAGCGGTGGTTTGAAAGCTGCTGGGCTTGGTTTGTTTGAAGGAATACCAGATGAGATTTTTAGATGGTTACTGACAAGCAGATTTGCTGGTAGTATTACAGGAAATAAAACCCATAGCAAGATTTCTGACTGCCTGGAATTATTATGGTGACTTTCATCTGAAGAACTGTATCTACAGTCTTTCCAGGGAATAACAATTAATAACCTGGTATTCAGGCTTCGTGCTGCTCTTCACAGGGCTCTCTCAGCTAGTTATGTGACTAAAGCATAGAAACATTCCCATGGAGGAGGCTAGCAGAAAAAAGAGGCATTCCTCTTAAGCTGCTTTTATGGTGGCTGAAGGCTCCCATTTCATTTTTGTTTGGGCCAAGAAGCGATCAGAGATGCATGTGAAAAGTTATCATGCAAAGGTTAGTGGAATGGTAAAATACTACTAAGCTTGTAGTTTGCAAGGGGTTTTCCACCTTTATTAGTAGTTTTAGGAAAATCTGTATGTTATTTTGTGCCAGTCATACAGAATGAATGCTTTCACAGCTAGTTGGTACCAAAATATTTCAGACAGTTATACTTCTGGGAACGTAGTCCATTTGTGTGGAAAATAGAGACAGCAGATGAAAAACACAAAGAGCAACAGCTATGTAAAATCAATTGCAATTCAGTCGTTCTTCCTTCCCTCCTCAACATACCTTTGTAATACTTGCAAAGCTGAACAGATGTTTCCAGACACAGCACACAGGAATCTGGTGCCCAGACACTGAAGTAGCACACAAGCATCAATCTCAGCTGGGTCTGGAAAAAGCTCATCTAATTCTCATTTAAATTGCCACACAAGCTTGTTTAGTTGGTTGCATCCTTCAAGATGGATCTCAGAGCAGCTGTGTTGGTATCATCATCTGAAGTCTTGTTCAGGTGCTTTTGCAAAAGAAACCTAGCAGGTTGACTTCTAGAATGAAAGACTTCATCCAACTACTTAATTCATACCTTAAATCAAATGGCCCGGATTTTCTTTCTTCGTTTCTCACCAGCGCTCTCGGAAATGGTGATCCCTTTTCTTTTAATAAGTGGTTGTCTGGAAGCGGTGCCATCACAGTCATCTGCTAGCAGGGGTTGTGGAGAATTATCACCTGCACTTGCAAGGAGATGAGCAGGGGCTGAAGGATTAACACCCACTAGTAAGGAAGGGTCAGGCATCAACCACATGGAGGGAAGCACTTCTGTGTCTCTCCTCAGCTTAGAGGATTGCAGCAGGCTTCTTGGGAAATCCTTCTGCTGGCTAGGTAGTTCAAGGGGAGATTTGCCATCATTTACTCTCTGGCTGTAAACATCACTGATTTTAGTTTCTGAGCAGTCCAGAGGTTGAGGGAAGGACTCTCCATTCCCTGAAGGATCAGCATCCTCGAAAGCCATTGCTTTTGGAGCACTGCTCATCCACGGTGCAACTTCTATACTGTTCAGAGAACTCAAGCTACAATCAGAGTGAGTGGCTGTGTCTTCTGAATCACCATCATAAGGATCTAAGAACTGAAAACAAAGATCTGTCTAAACACGGAGGACACTTATTTGTCTGAAGAAAAATACAGAGGTGTACAGCAGGGTTAAGAAACACTTCAGCATAGTGTGGAAGTTCCGTTGATCCACACATTCCCACTCCATTTTAATTTTTGAGTGAACACTGAGAACAAAGCTGCTGTGTAACAGCTGAACTTACTTGCAGTCCCTTGGAGTCTCTTGCCTTCCTGAGTCCTTCAGCAAGTGGGTTATGCAAGACCTGTTTAAGTGAAGTTGACATACGTTTATAGGGCATCTTCCTATGAGTCACTGATGACTTAAAGTAATATTAAAACAGATAAAAACCTAAAGAAGCCAGATTGTCCCATCATCTCAAAAGACAATAAAAATGTGTGTCAGTCTAACTTCTACAGGCCTGGTTAAAAAAAAAAAAAAAAAAAAAAAAAGCCTGAACTAGAGGGAGAAGAGCCCTGCTGAGTCTTAGCACTTCAAACATGACTATGAAGAGAATGATACTGTATATCTCACCACCAAAAAAAATAAATTACAAATTAACAGTAGAAAAGCTGTCAATTGGAGGCTAGAGAGCTTCCTTCCAAATTAGGTCACTTCTTGTTCTCTGACATTAGAGGCATACTACCACTACACTGAAATCCCCAACAGAGCAAAAGTCTGAGCTACACGACTCAGCACAGGAGCTGCCATTATGGCCCTGGCCAGCTCAGTGCTTCCAAGGTGCTCATAAGATCTGCAGTGCTCACCCTCAGCATTGCACCTGTAAGATCTGACAAGAGTCAGTTACACACAGCATTTCTGTATGCTCACTGTATGTATATACACTTAGCTATATGAAGTCACCGTGAACAATAAGATCAGAGCTCACAGCAGCAAGTTCATTTATATTCTGCTGTGCTTTGTAGCTCCTGACATACAGGAGGCTAACAGAACAAATTCACCAGAGCTCAGCTACACGTTATGGACAGGAATGTATGAAGGGTGTGAAACTAAAAATCAAGCCAGCTCTCTACTCCAGAATGCATTTGGTTTCTTTCCAACTGATACTAACCACACTGGTTTGCCAGCCAGTTCAGGAACCTATCAGTGTTCACAACCGACTGCCACAGCTCTGTTCTCTCCCATCTCATCTGAAATGAACATTCAGCAGAGCTCCTGCAGCAACCTTGCCCAGCACCACCACCAGACACAGCCCAGATCTGCTGCAAGCACACCCTCACAGAGAACTGATGAGGCCATTTTGGTATAACCTGAAACTGCTGCTTGTTCTCTCCCTGAAATTTCTGTACAGCTTTAATTCCAGCAACCACTCCTTTGGCACTTCTTGTCAAAAGCAAAAGGGTGAGAAGACCTTATAAGCATGGAAACACCTCAGAATCTGGGCCTCACCTCCACGCTGGATTCAGACTCTGACTCCGTGCTGGACTCCACCACGCACTTCTGCTGCAGAGGAAGAAGGGAAAGAAGCACCACTCGTAGCTGAAATTCAGACAGCTTCGGGTTGAGGCTGAAGGCCCTGTACGAGCCCAAAGTCCTGTGTTTTGTCAGAGTTTTCATCACAGGAAGCTGCTCAGCTTCTCAAATATCTCACTTTTGTGGTACTGATTGGGTTGTGCAGGGCAAGACACCATGGAAAGCAGAAGACTTTCTCTCCCCTCCCCAAAGTTCGCTCTCCCTAGGGTTTTTTTTTTTTTTTTTTTTTTGGTTCTTTGCAGGTGAATTAGATTATTCACCATTTGAATCAATTTATTCACAGATGTTTCTCATCAGCTGTTCTTCAGCACAGCTCCCTGTACCAAAGCATCCAGCACAGTCTATTTTGTAATTTAACAGGAAGAAACAGCAATTAGAAGAAAGTTACCATGTATTTACGTGCCAGTCTTTCTACACAGTCCAAGCTTTTAACAGAATCCATAATTTCCAGAGCATCTAACAGAATGGGGAAGGGAAGGAAAACACATCATAGAATCATTAAGGTTGAAAAAGGCTATCTATTCCAACCCCAATCCATCCTACCATGCCCACTTACCACGTCCCTTAGTGCCCACCTCCATGGTTCTGGAACACCTCCAGTAATGGTGACCCCCCACCTCCCTCGGCAGCTTTTGAAGAAGCTTACACTCCATAAGGGGATTTCAGATGCTTTAAAAAAGGCACAAGTTTTCAGAACCATTAAAGAGGTGTTTGTACTCAAGACATGAGACCAGCAAACACAAGGCCATGCTCAGAGCCAGTCCTGCACCCAGCCCTCCCTATGGGGTCCCACTCACCTCCGCCCAGGCCCTCTGCATACCGCCCCACCCGCCGCTGCCTCCTCGGCCGCTGCCTTCTCTCCAAGGAGGCCATCCTGCTGCAGCTCAATGTGCCTGGGCTGCCAGGCACCAGCTCACACCTGCCTCTCTGTTCAGCTCCAGCTGAAGACAGCTTAAAAAGGGACATAAAGAGGAGAGTGAGGCCTCCTGCAAAAGTGCTCTGTACCACAGCTGAAGGCTCCAGACCCCTCCTCAAACCAAGCGCACTGGACTGCACATAGGCCTACAGCAGAAGCCTATAGAAAATAGCACAGCAGCTCACATACCCTACTCATATTCCTGAGAGCACAGTTATACACAAGTACACACAGCCAGAAGTGCTACACTCTATTTCCCCCTCTGCTTGCACTCATTTATTTTCTGCAGCCCTGTATCAGTCACACAGCCCTCAGGAAGCATCCCCGAACGTGCAAAGGCCTTAACGAAACAAATGCCCACCACCAGTTGTCAGTCTAAAAAGGCCCCGTGAGTCAGACCCTGGAGACACAGAGCAGCCCACAGCAGCCTCCCACTCTGCACCTAGCCACCAGCTGAACTGCGCACACCTCTTTTCTCCCCCAGCAGTTGCTGCTTTTCCAGCTCCTTACCTCATCTGCCTAGGCCATCCAACAGCTAGGCCCTTCTATCAGGAAGAGGCCTGCAAAGACTCCTACAGCTCTCCCGCCACTGAAGCAGGCTCTGAGAGGAGTTCTGTCAGTGCTTGTAGTACCAGCTGACTTCAATGAGTGCAAATAGCCATCACCTTTCATCCACACACATGGCTCAGAGTCCCTCCTTCTACACAGGCCTGCCCCAAATAGCTGCTGATGCTCTATGGGCAACAGCTGTTAGCAGTCACTCCCTACCAGGTGGGACTCAGGAGAACTGTTAAGGTGAAATCGTGACATTAAGATTCATGTCTTCCAGGCATCAAACATTTTAGAAACACACTATGGGAGTGCACTGTAGTGAGAGTGCTTCTGTTTCACTTGTGGTTGGGAGCAATCTACTCCACAAAATAGTCCCTATGGACCACATCCAGTGCTGGTACTTTCTGGTATACAAACAACAAGATTTCAAGATTCTTGGTTTTCTTTGGTCCTTTGAGGCAGCACAAGCTGGAGACCTGAACCAGGAGCTTGAGAACACAGGTTGTGCTCATGACTTTTCTTTGTCTGAATTCATTATCTTGCAGAAATGATTTCACAAAGGGAATGAATTAGCACTGCTTGACAGCACTGATCCATCCTCACAGTAGATGCAGCAAAGACATAAAGCCAGAAAGCCATGCTATTCCTCTCCATTTAGAGAAGGAATTTTTAAAGGCTGGCCAGGCTATTGCTGTTTCACTTCCCAGTCTGTTCACAAGTACCAGAGTGGAAGTATTTTGCCTGACTTGGAATATGGCTTTCTAGTAACCCATACATTTCTTCGGTAGCAGATGCTGTTCTGAAGATGTAGTGCTCCAAGAGTGCCTGCATCCCCTTCGCTCTCTGAGGTCAGAAGAGAGAGGATGGTATTTTGGCTGCCTCAGTTCTGCTTGTCACTTCCTCAGCTTCTTGTACTGAGGATGCTGAGAAGGCAAAAAAGGCGATGGGAGGATGGATATGTAGATTCCTCTTATTAAAATACTTTTGCATATAACAAATATGCTTAAAAAAAAAATCAAAAAACTGGAGTTCTTTTGCTTGAATACGTGCCTGGCTGTGCTGGGAATGCATACTGCTTGTTTTAATTGCTTCTTCCAATTGATTTCATGCCTGAATATCACGGGATATGTTGAAATTATTGGAAGAACAAAAAAAGGATCAATTTGCCACTTTTTTTGCAGTTTCACTTTTTCTGTTCAACATTATGGTCATAGCACTAATTAGACTGAACGGTGGACAGCATAATGTCTGAATGGGGCTTTGTAAACTGAGAGAGGACAAAGGAGCTCTTGCAGTGTAGCTGTTTGGGTTTTTTTCTGACTAGATGAGCAGTTTTAGCAAACTTTCCAGAATCCGTTTACCTCAGGAATATACATAGTCCTTCAACAAACTATTAGCATTACATCAAGCTTAATACATATGCTCTACAGAGATAGAAAAGCTCCTGGTGAAATGTTTGTATTCAGGCTAGACTCATGGTCATTGCTGTTACCAACAGCCTAAATATGAAGGGCTTTCATCTTAAAATTAGAGATCACCCATGTTGGCAGGGGTCTGTGGGATCCTGCAGGTGATGGGACATCAAGATGACATCAGCATTCAGGCAACAGCACGGGACAGATGCACCCTGCTCCTATCTTGACATATCAAAGTTCTGTGGATCTCAAAATCCACCTGTCCTGCATAGGCAAAAGTGGCATGAAGATATGAAGCAACAGGAGGCCACTGAAAACTGAGCAAGGAGAAAACTCAGTTCTCATGATGCCATTCCATGAATGCTGCAGTCTGTACCATCTGCTGCTCTGGATCTAATTTCAGATTGCAAGGACGCACCTGGTAACTACTGTTACAGTACACGCTGACAGTGCTGAGTGCCTAAATCAGTATCTGCAAAGAATGTCTTCACTGAACTAGCATGACCCTCCATCAGGGATTTGCCTTGTGCAATAACTGTAACATTTGGCTTTGTTTCCCAGAGTTGTTCCATAACATTCTGGCCCTGGAATTACTGAAATGTTGCTTGGTTGTGCCATCAAGAAGAACAACTTGCACTCTCCTCACAAGCAGAACAGAAGGCACTGGCTGTGCTCTACGGCAGATGTTCAGGAGGACTGGCCCTGCTGTACTTGAAGCTGGTGGTGCCTTATAACTTCTTTGCTTAAGGAATGGAGCGTGGTATCTTTAGTTGGACTGGTTCTTGGAAAACATAGGGAGTAAATGAGTGATGTGGCCATCTCTTACCACAGTAAGTGCCAGGAACAGCTCGTGTCAGCTGCGAGCTCTGGGGAACGAAGGTGCTGTGTACAGATTTGTCCAACTTGCAGGAGAAAAATTAAAAATGGGATGTTGTGATTTTGAAACTTGAATTCTACTATACAACCTCCAACACTGCCCAAAGGAAGCTAGGATAAATACCTCTGACAGTGCATTAAAGACCAGACAAAGTACTATAGACATTATTAATACAGCAGAGCCTCGTTTAGGTGACATGAAGGGGTTTTTTTTCGTTTTTTTTCTTTTTCAGTGGTACATGGTAGAACTGGAAACATCTGTTGTTTGTTCACACACACTGCTGTCCCACTCTGGTAGCAAAGCAGCTGTAATACTGTTCTCCAGAAATGCTGAAGATTCGGACGGCTCGATATCCATGGGTGAGGAGCAGTCAGGCCTCTGGGGCCAAACTGCCTCTGTACTAGCTCCAGATTTCTGAGATGGTTCACACAGTTCCATCAAGAATGCTGATAAAGCAGATTTCTCCTCAGCAATTGTTTCCGTTGGTGTTCTAAAACCATCTTCTGGTGCCATATAGATATCGCTGTGGGACTCTCTAGCTGGCAGGACTGCCTTTCCAGGAGAAGGAAAAAACTGTTGTTCATCTTCTGAAGGGATGGCATCTCTCAAAGCTGCTGCCTGTGGCAGGCCCTGCTCTGCTACAAGTTTAACTCCTCTGCGACGCTTACCACTAGTGACATTCGTACTGGAGTTTGGGTAGTGTGAGTAGTGTGAGCTGTCTTCTGGGTAACTGCAGTAAGCATCTAAGAACTGAAATAAAATGACCTTCAGTAAGGTGTGTTCTCACCGTCTGGGCAGTATAATTGAAAATCAACCAGAAAGAGGTAAGAAAAAAGTGAAATCCACTTGGACGTTGTACTCTCATATTTTAAACCACAGAATAAATAAAAGCTTGCCTCTGTTTTAATGGCAGAATAGTTCAAATCAGAATTCTGTGCAGTGGGGCAAAAAACACATACAGCATTTACTGCCCACCCTCTTCCTCACCATCCCATCAGAACTGCACCTTGGTATGAAAGAACGTATGCCTCCGTCTCCATGCTGCTGCTAAAGGCACTGAACGCTGCTCTGATACACCTCTTCCTCCTTGGACCAGCCATACTGCAGTGGAGGTTTATTTGCCAGGCATTTTCTCGACCTTAACTTTTTTTAGAAATACAACGTTTATACAGTTGACCACCATAAAGATACATCTTGGCCTAAAATTGCTTTTCAGTGTAAGGTTTAGTTTGTTTTAAATGAAGAACTATTAAACATTATTTCATAATGAACTATCAGGAACATTTGATCATATTTGATGCTCATGTCACCCCCTTTAGGGTGCCCTCACCCTAAAGAAATCCAGAATAGGGAAATCTGAAAAAAGTGAAGTTTGATTTACTCACAGGTAGAAGTTAGCCCAAAATGACGAATTTGCTGAAGCTTCTGTTGTAGAATTTGTATCATCTCCAAGCAAATTAAGGAGGTGAATGAAGATCTCAGATCAGCTGTAAATAAGTAAAATACTCTTCATCTGCAGGATAAATCACTACTCATGAAAACTATATAAACAGTGTTCATATCTGTAGTCTATCAATTCGTATATTTGAAATGCACTTTATTTCATAAATCCAGTTGATGCTTGGAACTCAACGGAGTTCATGTTTTTGTCAGTTCCTAAGACAATGAGTTACTTTTCTTCCGCCACCAAACTCTGGGCTTTACTGCATGCAATGAGGTGAGCCCTTCACAAGGGGAACAGGAACATCAGCCAAGGTTCAAAAATCCAGAACACACGGACCAGTTTACTTTGAGAGCAGAGGAGTCACATACTTCTGAATGCAGCGTCCTAATGCCTTAAGCTTGATAACAAAAAGTCTAGCATCAACAGGAGAGCGTTCTGAATGTCAGCAGAACTTGAATGTCAGCAACATAATCCCTAAACAAGGAGAGTACGGCCAAGCTGTGAAGAAGAATTCCCTTGTAATCACTTACTCAGTGGGTTGGCTGCACTGTACTGAAGCTCCAATAAGCAGAAGTACTTTTATTTTGGCATCTGACCTTTTCATAGAATCACAGAACGTCCTGAGTTGAAAAGGACCACAATGATCACCTCGTTTCAACCCCCCTCGCC